AAAACAATAGCGCCATAACGATCAGACATGATTGCATATTTCAATAGAAATTTTTCTAGGTAATAACTAAGTTTTATTGATAAAAAATCACTGATAAGAATAATCAGTTTTCTTAAAGTCTTTCTAATCATTCTCATTTAACATCATAATAAAATCACTTCATAAATGTTACACATTTATGAAGTCAACAAACTATGCTGTTTCCTCTGGAAATTATTTATTACTGTTACAAATTAATTACCAGTTAATATCAGCAAATAAATTGATTAAATTTTGATATTAAAGCATATATTGTGGAAATGATTTACACTGCCATAAATTATTTATCAATTATTATCCCTAAATAGACTGATTAAAGTCTAATATTGAAGCACTTGTTGACGAAGTGATTTAATATTATTATAAAAATTAAGTATCAGTAAATAGGTTGATTGAAGTTTGATAAGCTAGAAATGATTTGCTAATGCTGTGAACTAATTATCAATAATCGAAATACTTAAAACTGTACTTTACGTATCGATATCCTTCGCTTTTTCATCAGACCTCATTGTGGCTTTCATCTGTATTAGAGTTTCCCTTTTCTTTTTTTATTCCTACATTAGTTTCAAATTTTAAAACAACATGGTAGTTAAATTTTGAATATAATAAACGATATATGTGAGATAATAAAACATATCTATTCTATCTTCTTCCAGAAAAAGCAAGATATACGTGAGATATATCTATTCTAAAAGAGTACCAAATGAATATCAATAAAATATCCAAATATTACTTTTACTCTCCCAGAAGATTTGACATTCTTTCATTGCACTTATTTCTAGTTCAAATTTATTCATCATATTAGCATTTCGAGTTAGTTTATTTAACATTTAACTTCCTTCTCATATAAATCATAAATTGAGTTAGTATAATACTTGACTAAAAATAAAATAAACTAACTTTTACAGATGAAAAAAAAAACAGACAAACAAACAAACAAATAAAACTAACTTATCGAAACTTTCTGAAGTAAATGATAAATGTGTGTGATTACTTCATTCAAAACAAAATTTAAATTAAATGAATTTAAAATATCAAATTTAACTCAAGCAAAAATATTTTGATTGAATTTTTTGAAACAATAAAAAAAGAAATTTTCTATTTAATTTTTTTTTTGCATTTAATTTTTACGATATGTAAATAAAATAAATAAAAAATATTTAAAAAAAGAAAAATAAAGGAAAAATGAAGAGAGCAGAAATAATCAAAATGTTAAGAAAAAAATGAAAAGAAATGAAAAAAATAAAACAAAATAAAATAAAAAATTGTTTAAAAAGAATAGAATAGTAAATAAGCATTAAATTAAAGAAAATATTGATTGATTGCTTTAAACAGAGCTAATACTAGCTAAAATAAATCAATATTGAAATGGAATACAATGAAGCAGTGAAATGTAAGATGCATAAGCTATATACTTTCCTTAAATACCATGAAATTTTCTAATCATTAAATAGTTTCATTCATCGTTAATTTACATATAAGTGTATAATTATTAATATTTATTAGTATATTATTACCAATATTATTATTTATTTATTTATTTATTATTATTACTAAAAATAATTGCATTGATGAAGCGCAAATGATATAGGAAGAAGAGAAAATAAAACGAGAAACCTTGAATTTTCTAATTTTATTGGTTAACTATAAAAGTATTTGATTTTTCTAAAGAAGTTTTTTAATAAATAATTTAGTTTTTAGTAGTCGTCTTTTTTAATTTTTAATGGTTACCTTTTAATAGCTAATCTTTTTAAAATATTTTTTCAAAAATTTTTTTGTCGCTTTTCACATAACTTCTTTCTTTCTAGCTCATTCTCTCCCTCTGTCTCCCTTTCTTTCTCTTTCATTCTTCTTTATTACCATTATTTTTTTTTTATTAAAAAATTTCAGATACATCAAATATTTTCAGAATACATCAAGCATCAGTGATTTAATAACAAGTACTGAATAATTTACCAGAAATCCATGAAATTATCCTACTATCTTTACAATTGCAAAGTCTCTTTCTCTATCACTCTCTCTTTTACATTTGAAAATATTTACGATATTTGATATTTGTTTATAAAAATTTAAGATTTTTCAACAATTATTAAGATTTAATGGTTTCTTTTCGTTTATATACTAAATTATATGCTGCAATCATAATATTTCATTTATCAATTTCAGTTCAATTTTAAATTTGAAATCATTTATTGTGAATAAGAATTTCAAAAACTTTTCATTTCAAATGCATTAAATTAATTTTTGGTTATTTAAATTTACTTTGATTATATTACAATTGTTTATTTAAAATATATTATTTAAATTTATATTAATTTATTTAGATTATTTAAATATATATATTTTATTTTTGATTATTATTTAAGCAATCATACGAATGATATTCGATTTTATTTGATAACGCTGATTAGATTAATTTTATTGTGATAAGCCTACTAGTTACTTCATTTTATTTCACTTTTCTTTACATTCTTTCTCTTTATTAAATCATGGCAATTTTAATATTCCTAGTCTAATAATTAAATTATTCCTAATTAGTTAAATTGATTAAATCAATCGCTATTAGATTTAATTGTACTAGATACTACTGGGGTTTAATTAATTTAAACTAAATACTATTGAATTTCATTCACTAACTGATTGCACTATCTCATTTTCATTGTATCATTTTATGATTTGAAATCTGCTATAAACGCTATCTGTGCTAATATTAAAATTCATTAAATACAGCAATGTTTGAATCAATGAACTCTCTCTCTCTCTCTTTAACTCTTTCTGTCTTCATTATATTATCACGTTGTAATCTATTATAAATTGAACATTATTTCTACCTTTTAATAATTTAAATTTTCAGTTTCTTTTTTCTTTCAATCTACTAAATTTTTTTGTTAAATTATCATTTCAGCCATTGAAATTTTTGCACTGTGAAACGACGATTACATCTCAATTCATCCACTTGATTATTGCAATATTTTTTTTTCTTTGAACTGAGAGATATCTGAAAGAGTTCAGGCAGAAAAGGCGGTGTTGGCAAGTGGATAGAAGAATGGAATGCATCTGTCTTCCTAAGCTTTTGTCAATAAATGCGCTACACTTCAAATATCCAAAACCTTTAAATTGTGATAGTGTGGAAAGCTCGAGCTCTTCCTTTCATTCTTCTCTTTTCTTCTTATTCAATTAAAAACTATTTTTTAACAGTAACTTTCATAAATTACACTAATATTTTTCTAATTTAATAATTTAAATTCTTTTGTTTTTTAAATTAGTATAAATTTTATTAATGAATAACTGATAATAACAATAATGCGCAAAATTGATTAATCATAAACATCATTTTACTTGATTATTTAAACACATTTACAATTTTATATTCTATGTTATTTGTGTCTTTTATTAATTTATTAATTTTTATTTAATTTCATTCTTTGTTATATGCTTTCATTTTAAATCATTCATCCATCCAATGTAAATTGTTTTAGAAAGGATCCTTAAGTAATAGTTGTATGCACTAAGTATTGTTATATTTAAAATTTTCAAAGTAAATTTAATTGCTTGGTAAGAAATGTATGCCATAATATTGGAATTAAATATTAATAGATAATACTTGCATTAAATACTAATAGTTGATAACATTGGAATTAAATACCAGTGGATAATAATACTGGAATGAAATATATATACTCAAAAAATTAATGAAATCTTTTTCGTAATTGAAAGATGAAATAATTTTACTGGAATTAAATACTAATAGCTAACATTACATATATATTTGAAAAATTAACTTTTTCATTTGATCATTACGAAATAAACGATACTTCTGTGAATGTACTTTAAAGCGCATTTGTTCATATTAAACTGTTACGAATTCATTTTCAAATTCGTTTAATCTTTTCTTTCAAATTTCAAAATTCTTTTACTTTAGACGCAGCTTTCTTTTTTATTTTTTTTTTACTATCTATAAATTACACTGTTATGCTTTCTTCTTTTTTTGCTATCAATGAACATTAGCATGTTGTTCACGTGATACGTACGTATTTCATACTGATTACGTAATATAAGAATAATTTGTGTCTATCATTTATTCATAAATTCTAAAATTAACATCAATCTTTGAAATATGTTGAAATAAGAAGTGAAAAAAAAAATTGTTTAATCAAATGATTTCATACATTTTAACAATGATTAATTTATTTGTTGAAAATTCATGTAATGCATTGCTTAAATTTTTTTTTTTTCTTCTTATTTTTCTTTAACTAGCTTTTATTGCAATTGCAAAAGATTTCATAATTTATTTTGTTACATTTTAATTCGAACTTAAAATTTTGTATAAATAATATTTATGAATAACATTTAAAATTAATTGCATATAATAATGAATGTTACATTGGAATAACAACATTTGTACTTGTATCATATAATTGAATTCCTCACAAAGTAAGTTAATCGATCATAGGACGAACTATTAAATAAAAGTATCACTTTATTTATTTGTAAAATAAAGGTAATTGATAATGGTATTACTCAGCAAAACATACTTCAAGAAGATGACTTAAAATTTTTTGATTTTTTTTGCAGGAAAATTTTAAAACACTACTGTTAACTTAGACTGTTGAGTCTTTTGTGATATATTAGCATAAATTATTAATTGCAAAAAAAAAAAATCTAAAAGGAAGCTAAAAGAACATTTTTTCTCACTATAACAATCAACATTTCTTCTGCAAATCATAATTGTAAAATAACTGACAAAAAGTATCAAACAAAAAAAAGAAAACGAAATGTCTAATTTGGGATGTTTAACTTATAAACATTATTCATTAATCACTTAAAATTGATGCAATTTATAAAGAAGTATTATAAATAAATTATAATAAATTAAATTGAATAAATTATCGTGAAAAAGAAAGCACGAAACCTCATTATAACTCTAACAAAATTATAATTGTTTCATGAATATTTCAGTGATGTCATCTGAGGCGTCCTGTTCAGGCTTTGAACCTCAAATATATCTACGTGAACGCTGCAAGAACTGTTTCAGTTTACGTTCAAAGCATGACGTGAAAAATGACACCGAAAGGACGGCCATTATCAGTAATAACACTGATAACAATTCTACCAATCAGAAACAACAACAAGAATCTCTTGTTACTTTAAATAGTAAGTTATTAAAAAAAAAATGGAAAAAACGCACATTCTTGAATTATTATCATTAATTTGATAAAACCTGAAATAATATCCGAAGATTTTTGAACTGAATAATATTATTAATAATAAAAATTAATCTTATCATTATCTTTCGTTCCCAGTCCTTCAATTTTTTTTTTTTTTTTTTACAATATTTCATTTTATTTATATTATTACTTAAAAGTTTTTTCTTGTATTTTTTACAAATTAGAAAATTATTGATAGCATTGATAAATTCTAAAATTACTGACAACATTGTTGACTTAATCATTTATTTTGTATGTTCATTTTTTACATTCTTATCGTTTTCTTTTTTATGAAAAATAATTAAGAAATTTTTTATTTACATATAAATATAATTATATATTTGTTGACAAAATTTCATCTTTTTTATTTCAATTACAAACCTGAAGTAGAGATGTTATCAAACTAAAATGAGATTAAATGTAAAGCAAAATTATCAGCTAAATCAGTATGAAATGACAATAAATGATAAATAAAAAAACGGAAGCGCATTAAGATATCTTTTAATTGTTAGCATTTCTTTAAATAATCAAAAAGTTAATAAACATTTCTTAAAATGATGATTTATCATAAATTTTTTTATCAATGGCATTAGATCATCCATCATGTAATCAGTAGTTATCTGCAAAGTGATAGAAATACTTAGTTAGTTATTTCAGCAGTAGCTGCTAGTTTTAACTCGTGAATTTCATTGATAAAATGATAAAAAATTTGATAAAAGTCTTTCTTCAATCGTACAAATAAGACTATTATCATTAATTTGATTATTTCCATATGGTTTAAAAGAAGAAAAATTCAGTAGTAAAAAATTTTATTCATTTTTAAAATTTTTAGCAACAAAAGAACGAAGTCGAGAAAAGCGACGTTCCTGGCGTGATAAAACAACAACTGTACCGGATAACGGTGCTCCGGAACATGTTACTGAAGGTTAGCAAAATGATAAAATTAAGAAATCATTAGAAACATAACTTTTTTTTTCAAAAATTTTGAATCAAATGTTACTCATCTTTTAGCATTTTTTTTTCTCTCTCCCTTTTTTAATCATTTCCGAATGTATTTTTTTTTCTAGAAGAATTTAGTGCTTCATGAACAGATAACCAAATTAAAAAAAAAACAATCAGATGAAAAAAAAAAAAAAAAAAAAACCAAAATCAATTGAGCATAATTAACAACTGATAAGACAGTTAGTTTATTTTCAGTTTGGTTTAGATTAGTTTATTTACTTAGTTACTTACTCAGTCGGATAGTTAGTCAGTTTACTTACTTAGTTAGTTAATTTAGTTTAGTTAGCTTATACATTTATGCATGACAAATTGAGACACTTGATTTGTTAACTTTATTATTTGCGAATATGAAGTTTAAACATATCTCATTACTCATATTTCAATCCATTCTTCTAACTTCTTCAATCAGCAACTGATATAGAATCATTTTATTTCACTTATAAGCTTTTCACTTATTTCACTTATAGATAGATAACTTCTATATATCATACATCTCTCTCGTTCTCTTAATTCTAATTATTTATATTTAATAAAATATATTTAATTGCATTCAATTCACCAAATTGATAAAAACTTATGTCCAATATTCAATCTCATTCAATCTTAATTCTTTTTTTTTTATTTTGTTCTTTTTTTCAATATATTCAATGCGTATTATAATTTATTTATATTCAATTTATTCAATGAAATAATTTGTATTCACTTTTAATCCTTTTTTCTTCTTTTACTTATTTATCAACAATTATACTAATTAATTACAATACCGGTTGAAGAAAAAATGCTCACTTTTTGTTAATTTGCATTTGCTTTTTTTTAGCATAAGTTTATTTTTTCAAAAAATCTTCTTTCGAATTTTAATTATTTTTATTAATTACAAAAATCTTTTCAGAAAATTTTTTTTAAGGTACTGAAGACGATACAACATCATATACATCATATAAATCAGCTAATTCAAAGGATATTTCAACTGAAAAATCACCTGAAAGTATATCAGATACAAAAAGTATGATTACAGCAATTTCTGAAAGTATTCAAGATGATGATCGAGCAATTACACCTGTGGAAAATGATATGGTTTGTTAATTATTATTTTACTTTGAGTTTTTTTTTTTTGAATTTGAACAAATCAATTATTTTTAGAAATAAGTGCTTACAATTTTAGCATTCAATATAATACGAATTGAAGTTTATAGCTTTTCTTTTTTAATTTTTTTTTTTTTTGCTGTTTATTTTTGTTATCAATTATTTTCAAACAATACATGCAATATGAATTATATGTGTATTGCATCTGTGGCTTTATTTATTTATTTATTATTCAATTTTGCTGATGTTTATTTTTGTTTCTAACTATATCCAAATAAAAAAAAATTACTAAAATCAGATATTATCAATGATTTAATTATGCAAATAAAGGTTTTTTAATATTAATGAAATTCATTAATGCAATATTTTCCGCATATTTTTTTTTAAAACAATGACTCCAAATTTTTCAAGATTATTCAAAAAAAAAAGTCTAATATATAAGAGAGAGGTTAAGACAGTGTGAAAAAAATATGCAAATTTATTATTTGGAATTGTTTCTAAATTAAGAAAAAACTTTTTTCTATAAAGTTATTTTTCAGAATTATTTCTAAATTATTATTTTTTTCCCCTTTGTTATAACAAGTTGTATTGGCTAAATTGTTCTATTAATTCAAGAGGAAATATTTGAGGTAAATGATATATAATAACACAATAGAAGAATGAATTTGAAATATTAAAATGACATATTAAGCTTGCTAAAATAATTCAATAATTACAAAGAAAAAAAAATTAATTTTTGTTTAGAATTTTGATACAACAATGATGAAAGCAGAAATAGCACATCTGAGAGAAGAAGTAATTAAATTAAAAGAAGAACGACAAAAATGGACAATACGAAAGTTTGAAATTCTTTCAAAACAAATAAATATTAGAATAAAAATTTTTTTTCTTATTAAAAAAAAAAAGAGGAAAAATTTTTTTTTTTGCTACCTCAGTTTATATGCATAAATTTTGAAAAACAATCTTCTTCATTTAAAAACAATCATTAATCATAAAATTATATTAATTGTAAATTATGCAAGGCAATAAATTAGGTTTGCAAGTAAATGAAATAATTATAATTGCTTCTTAAAAATGTGGTAAGAATTCTTTTTTGAAGAGAAAAATGTCAAAACTCAAATGATGAATCGCTGGTTGAAATGCTGGAAGAGAGATTAGCGGAAGCAGAAAATTGCATTCAAGATTATCGTGATGAAAATACCGTACTAAAATGTGAACTTCGAGAATTACAAGTAATATTTTAAATTTATTATTTGTCATGATTAATGATCATTTTTATCGTGTTTTTCTTTATTGATTAATTTTTTTTTTTTTGATATAAAATATATTATTTTATAATCAATGAAGAAAAGTAAATTCACTTCATATTAAATGGATTCAGGCTAATATTTCTAATATATGATAAAGATTATAAAATAAGTGAATTGGGTTATTTATTTCTAAATTTTTGAGGATTGAAAATTTAATCAATTTGAATTTCTTATTAATGCTTTTTTAAATTTTTTTTATAAAAGTGTATTGATATTAAATTATTTTTTTGTTAAATAATTTCAATAAGCAGGAATGTGAAAGCTCAAATGATAATCGTAATGAAATGAACGTAAAATTGGCGGAAAAATTGAAAGCTTCGGAATCATTATGTGATGAATTAATGGAAGAGAATGAATCATTAAAAGCTGATATTAAGGATTTGCAGCAAGAAATTGAAGAAATGCAAGTTAGTATATACTAAGTGTATTAATTTCATATTTTCTTTTTTTTTGTCAATATTTGATAAGTTTTATTATGATGAATGGTAGTTGAATGATAAAATATGTAAATGATAGTAAATTCATTTCATATTAATTTGATATAAATAATTAGATGTGAAAAAGATTTTAGATTTTTTTTCTACTTACACCTACACTTTGATAATTTTCAATTTTCTATTATTTTTTATTTTTAAATGACATTTATGTTAGAATAATTATTTATTCATTTGTTTTTTTTTTTTTTTTTAAAGGATCAATATCGCGAGGAGGAAATTGAAGAATTTCGTGAACTTCAACGTGAATTGGAGCAAAACGCAAAGAATTGTCGAATATTACAATTTAAACTTCGAAAATCTGAACGCATGCGTGAAGAAGTTGACGCTAAAAAGCAACATCTTGAAGCTAAAGTGAAAGTATATAATTCTTTTTTCATATTATTAACACTATTAAAGAATTCGAAATAATCTTACTAAATAAATTATTCAAAAAATGAAGTCTTCAAATTTAAATAAAAGTAATGATAATTGAATAAGGTATTATTAAATTTTTCAAAATCCAACAAGTAAAAGATAGTTAAAATAATCTTAACAGTCTTTTGTTTTCAAATTTATTTTATTGCATCAGTAATAAAAGCTAAAAATTTTAAATTAAAATGTGCAAGTAAAGTTTCTCAATAACTTTAGTAAAGTAGTAAAAAGTTTGAAAAATTTTTGCTGTGTAAAATTAAATTTTTTTTTTTGCTTTTGAGATGATAAAATTAATTTGAACTTGAGAATGCATATTAAATATTAAATAATATTGTTACTGTATTTCAGCAATAAATTTCCGTTCATTTTCTTCTTTTAATTTTTACAGGATCTCCTGGAAGCTTCATCTGCAACCGGTAATGGATTACAGACAACCGGAAAGCAATTAGATGCAATACGAATAAAAGAATTAGAATCAGAGCTAAGAATTGCTAAAGAAGTTTCTGTTAGATTGCATAATGAACTTGAAAATGCTGAAGAGAAGCGATATAAATTAGAGGTAAGATAATTGGAGTTGTAATAGTGATACTTGATTAATTGACACTTTTATTTTAATCAATACATATATTAGTTCCATATTAAAATCATTGTTATTTATCTTTTTTTTTTTTTTATAGGACGAAGTTTTTTATATGAAAGATAAAATTCGTGAATTACAAACGCAAAATAAATGGAGAGAAGCACGAAATCGAGCAGAACTACAAACAGTATTCTTATCTAATAATCCTTTTTTTTTTTAGGGTTTCAACTTCAGTTCATACACATATTAATTCCATATTAAAATCATTGTTTTTTATTGATATTATTTATTCGAAATCATATAAAAAATCCTAATACATACAAAATTAATGGTATTTATTAAAAATTTCAGCAAATAATTGAGGGAAAAAAAATTTTTTTTTTTTTTGAATTCTCTTTGCATTTTACAGAAAAGAAGTACTACTGATGTATCGAATAATTCAATTAATTCTAATAACAGTAAAGAAATACATGATATATTAGAACGTGAAGCAGATTTGAGAGATCAGTTAAAGTTTGCTGAAGAAGATTTGCGCCGAACACAACTTAGATTACAAGTTAGTAAAATTTCTTTAAAAAAACACTTAAAAAATGCTTTGTACTTTATGTTTTAAAAAAATAAGTAAACAAAATGCTTTATGCTATTAAAAAAAAATTTTTTTTTAGGATGTTGAAAATGAGAATGAAGAATTATTAAGGAAGTTATCAAGATTGAAGACAGTTAAAAGACCACCAATGATACGATCATTCAGGTAAAAAATTTCAATAATTTTACAAATGCAAAAAAAACAAATCATTTAAATTTTATTCCGTAATCAAATAAACTTCACTTTTACAATATTTATACAATTTACTTACAATTTTATATTTTTATTTGAGTAACTACATGCGAGCAAAATAAAATGATTTAATAAAAAAAATCTGAATTTAAATAAATTAGAAAATATTAATGAACTAAATTGACATTATACAATTTTGCACAACTGATAATAATATGCATGTTTTTTTTTTCTTTAACAGTGTATAATAAATGTTAGCAATTGCTCAAATTTTAATCACTTATCATTGATATATTTAATTTTATAATTTTTACATTTTTCTTTCAATACATCACATAATATAGTAATAAGATATGATATCACTCATCATAATTTTTTTTAAATAATACAATGCATCATATTTTGTTGTTCTTTCCTATTTCTTTTCAACTTATTTATTAACGATTGTACTAACTGATAGCAATATGGTTGAAAAGAATTGTTCACTTTTCGAAAACTTAAATGTTTATGATAATTTAAATATTAATCTTTTTAATAACGGTAAATAATGTTTTACAAATGATAATAACTTTTTAATGCACTTTTAAAAGAGTTTAATATTGAATGAAACAAGCAATGATTGATTAAATGAATAAAACTAAAAAAATAAAATGATAATTAATCATTTATTGATAAAAAAACTAATGATTCATATAATAAAATATGAAATGATAATGCAATTAATGATTCATTAAGAGTATAAACTAATAATTAGTAAAAATTAAAATAAAATTAAATTAAAATGTAATTAACCATTCATTAATAAGGAAAAAATCAATGAGTAATAAAATGGATAATCATTTATTAATAATAATAAGAAAAAAGTTATCATTAAAAATCAATCATTTAAATTATAACCAAAATTTTTAAAATTTTTCTGCCATTTTTTTATCACTCAATAACATTAATATCAATTTGGATTGGACAGAAAAAAAAAACCATACAACATAAATTAAATTTATTTAAGTCAGTTAAATTTATGAACATATTCTAATAATAAGTTAAATTTAATAATAGTAGGCTAAATTTATTTATACATACACCAATAATTTTTAATAATTATAAGTTTTCAATTTAATGATAACAATTTAAATTTATTTAGACACACGCCAATAATAAATTAAATTTATTCAAACACACACTGAAAATTAAATTTATACTTAAACATAGCTAATAATAAGTTAAATTTATATTTAAAGATAGATATTAGTGAAAGGTCATCAAAGTTTCAGTGAAGGTCATGCACAAATGCAATTGGAATTGGCTGAACATGAAATGGAGCATTTGTCAACCAAAGTAGAACGTTTGGAAAAGAAAAATATTCATCTTTCAAAGAAGTAAAAAAAAAAGCAAAAAAAAAAAAAACATTTTGCTTTTTTCCCTTTTTAGCTATTATTGCATGAGTGTTGTTTACAAAGTTAATTTATTATTTACAAGCATTTCTATTATTTATTATAATTATTTTTCTTTTTGCCATTATTCTGACTTTCAAATTATTAACATTCATATTAATTACTATTTTGCACTTGCAAAAAATTTATAAAATACTAGAAAAACTGGATTAACAATTTTATAATTTTTTTTATCAATATTATTATCACTTTTAATTAACATATTAACTCATTTTTAAATATTCGCTTCTTTCTTTTCTTTAACCATTTAATTCGCAAATATAAATAATTATTTGTATTCATAGAATTATGGAAATGGAAATGGATTCAAAAAAATATTTGGAAAATGAAGAAATTGTTAATGGACGAGTAAGTTTTGAGGCTATCTTATTAATATCATATTGTTTTTTTTTTCTTGCTGTTTAATTAAATTGCAAAGTGATAAAGGTACAGCTTTAGTTAACTATAAAAAATATGAAAAATAATCCTTGTATGGTACCAATTTAGTTGGAAAAAAATTTTTTTTTGGTTGTTAAATCTATTGATCATAATTTATCAAATATGAACTTATTCATTTCATATTTGATAAATTCTGATAAAATAAAAAAAGGGTGAAAAATAAAATTATTGAAAAAACTTTTCAAATTTATGATTATATTTGTGCTAATATTTTTTTTTCAAATATATGATTTAAGTAAAAAAAGAAACAATTTTTTTCCAGAAAAAACAACAAAAATTTTTGTTTTTTCTTTTGTTTTTTTCTTTTTTTTAATTTTAAAGGCGAAACAATTTGAAGTACCACCAGAAATGCAGCGTGACATTGGCAAGTTAATGGGAACAATTAGTGAATTAGAACGTAAAAATTTAGACTTATCATTAAAACTTAAACAACAAAGTGAACTTAATTCATCAATACCATCCGAAAAATGTTCGTTTCTTCTTTTTTTTTTTTTTTTTCCTAAAAAGACGAAGTATTAAAAATTTCAATTTGTTTCTTTATCAAATTTATAATGTTTAAAATATTTGAAGTTCAAAATTTTAGTTTTTTTTATTTAAATAATTTATATTTAAAAAATTCTATTCTTAATAAATTATTGATGTATTTTCTCGCTAATGAAATAATCTAGGCAATTTATGATGTTTAAATATTTTCCTCTTTTTGAGATTTTTACTTTTTTTTTTTTTATTTAGAAGTTTTGGAAATTTTAGAAATTTTTCATTTAAAAAACAAAAGCTTATCCTTAATGAATTATTTGCATATTTTCTGGTTAATCAAATAATGAAATAAACCAGGCAAAGGTAAGCATTTAATTTAAAAAAGAAAAGTTAATTTTAGCTCAAACTGAATTAAGAATAGAAAAAGAACATAAAAGAATTATTGAAAATGAATTGATGGAGTTAAAACGAATGATGCTTCAATCAGATAATCAAAAGTTAATCTCTATGGCTACAAAGGTTATCTTATCTTTTATCAAAATTCAGATCATAATTTTAATTTAATATGAATTTTTAATGACTGTCACAAACATCTTTTTTCTTCTAATTGTATGCGGAAACGAAATGCTGTGAAAAAAAAAAAACAACTTATATTGATAATTGTTATAGCATTTAATAAGCTAATTGGTACTAGTTAATTAGTTTATTTAATGAGCTAAAAATTTTTTCTACAATATTTTGAAGTTAAAGGCAAGTTTTGATTAGAATTATTTTAAAAAATTACTTGCTAATGCAAAATGAAAACGACGGAAGAAAATGAAGCACTTGTGATTTTACAATTTTGTTAAGGTGGAATTATTGAATAATCAACTTTTATTGGTGAATGATCGTTGTTCAAATCTTCATCGGCGAATTGTCAAAGAAGGTAGCAATGAAGCAGCATATACGGTAAGCCAAAGCAATGGAAAAAAATTGCATTGTTTTAGATTTAATTTTTATTAATGTAATAAATTTTTATTAGCCAAAAACTTTTTGTAACTTTTTTTTTAAATTATAATTTACAATTAAATAAATTTATGCTATATTTTAAAGTATTTTTTATTTAATTCTCATCTTTTCAATTTTTTTTTTTCAATGCTAACATTTTATTTAGTTGTAATTTAAAAGGAGAATAAGAAATTGGCGTTTGAATGATTTTCCTTATTTCATATAATATTCTAAGCTTAATTTATTTTCGTTTTTTTTTTTGTAATTTTTTTTTGTTATTTCTCATATTTCTTATGAAAATAATGGAGTTTCGCTATGTCTAATAATTTGTATTTTATTAAAAATTTCAATTTATTCTATTCAATAATAACAATTTATTCAATTTTTTTTTAAGAAAAAATTAGCATCTTAGAGAAGGATTTGTTATATCTAATAATTTTCACCTTGAAAATTTAGTTTATTCTATTAGATAGTAATGTTTTTAATGAATTATGATTTTAGATACGGAAATATTCCTTATAACTAATAATTTATATATTACTAGTAATAATTGATCGCAACATTATTACTATCACTTTTTTTATACTATATTACTGTTCAATCCTATATTTTACCACTATATTACTATCTATAACTACATTTTACTACTAAACTACTATTTATTACTACATTTTTCTAGTATATTACCATATTTTACTACTATACTACTATTTATAACTATATTTTACCACCGTATTACTATTTATTACTATTAAAACAACACACATACATTTTATTATAAATTTAATTCACTCTATTAAATAATAATGATTCAATCAAATTTTAAACGAAAACTTAATTTATTAAATGCATATTTGATCTAATCATTATTATTAAATATAATAAATCAAACTTTTTGGAAAAAAAATAGTTTTAGTTAGAAAAGGAAACCATTTGGTATTTTTTTTTCATTAATGCAAATTAGCATGAAAATTTCATTTTCTTTTTTTTTTAAAGGACTCGTTGAAGAACAAATGTGAAGAACTTGAAAGACAGTTAAGTGAACAAAAAGCCAAAAATGCTATCAGTTGCTCACAAATTGATAGTGCTACTACGGATGAGGTTGAAATAGAATATAATTAATTACATTTAGTTTCTTTCTTTTTTCATTTTCCGTATTTTTTTTTTGTGTGTGTGGAATTAGAAAAAATTTTTTTAATGTTAGTTGAATAATGGCAAATTTGCAATTTTTGGAAAAATTGCTTTTGCAGATTGAACAATGTTGTGAAGTACTTGCATCGGTGGAAGCACAAACAAATCGAATTTGCAAACAAATTGAAAAAATTGATAGTGCACAGAAGGCAAATTTATTAAACTAAAAGAATTAAATAATTTATAATATATTAATTAGAAGAATAATCATTCATTTTTCCTAAAACTCTAATGTTTGTAAATTATGTTAATCCAATAATTTTAATTAATACTTATAAATAATTTATAATAAATCAATCAGATGAATATTTTAAATAGATCATTTTATGGTTAAGAAAAGAAAACTGAATTATTCATTCTTTCTTGATAAGACGCATCATTTTTTGCATCATTAATTATTAATTAATGATAATAAATGAGTAAAATTTTTAGCATTTCATATTAACACAAATTTCTTTTAAGGATGAACGACGGCGCTCATTATCTAAAGACAATAGCGCGACAATTATTGCTGAATTAGCAAGTGTGATGTCCGAACTAAATAACGTTCATCAGTTACTCGAAGCACATAAAGTTTTCGCTTTTTTTGTTTTTGTTGATTTATTTTTTAAAATGTAGTAAACTTTCAGTTAATTAGCATAAAAATATTTTTCTTGTGAAAGTTAAATAAATATTTCGTTTCATTTATCATTTTTAAAGGTTGTGAAAGTGGATTGATAATAATAGCGTTTTAAATGAATTCGTTAATTAAATAGCTTATGAATAATAGTGTAAACATAATATGCAAAATGCTAAGATGCTTGAAAACGCAAATATTCCTTTGGATAAAATAAAGTTCAGAAATCTACAAATTTTTGAACTTAAAAAAATTTTTCAAAATTTCAAAAAAATAAAGTTTCAAAAATTTAAAGAAAAATGAAGTTCAAAAATATTTCATCTAAACATTCATTTAAACAAAATGAACTAATTTTATTGTAACTCTAAATTTTAAAGTGTTTTTAATTAGATGTAATTAATTTGCTTATTGATTAATCATTTATCACTTGTTCTCCAATGATTTGATTTAAAATTAATATTTATTTCGTAATTTGTTCTCTTATAGCAAATTATATTTTGAATTATTTTTTTGCACAAAGCGAAGTATGAAAATGTAATTTACATTAACTCTTGTTGTAAAAATTAATTTGAGATATTTTCAGGTTAATATAGTAAGCGCAAGAGGTTCGCCAGTGAAAAATGTAGCAAACGTGAATTCCGAGCCAAAACCATGCAGTAAATGTAAAGAAAATGAAACGTTTATTGAATCACAAAAGGATGAAATTATCTTCTACAAGAAGAAAAATAAGGTTGCATTGATAAAATCGTATTATCTCCACTTTTCTATTAAAATTCCTTACCTTTTTGGTAATTGTTATTGTTTAGATATTATTACTTATTGTTATATTTCTTTATTATTATTATCACCTAAATTACTATTTAAATTATTATTTTCTTCAATTTATTATTATTACTACCGAAATTATATTATTATTATTGTTATTTATTTTCACTATTGTTAATTACTATTACTGTTATTATTATGTTATTACTATTAATTATATTATTATTGTTTCAGGAGCTTACTAATCAAATTCTGCAGACAGAAGATCGTTGGACTGCTGAAATTGAAAAGCAAAGGCAAAGCTATGAAAATGAAGTAAAAGTCATGATGAATGACATAAACAATACAATTAAATTCATTGCAAATGAATTTAAAGTTTTGAAATTAAAGTAATTCAATAAATATTTCGTTTCATTTATCATTTTTAAAGGTTCGAATTCTACATACAAAATTGA